TATCCATGTATAGCTCAATGTAGTAAGTCAGTCCGAGGTTCTAATATGTTATAGTGCATAGTTTACAATTCAAGAATGAATTGAATCTATTTCCACACTATGTTTTAAGAATATGTCTTACGAGAAATTTCGATTTAACGCTGAATGTTGTTGTTGTTGCTGTTGTTGTTGCTTGAAATTTCACACTTTGAGAGTTCTTTTTTTTTTACACTTCACGATAAATAATAAGCAAAATAATTTCACCGCATTTTGAACGCTTATCGCCTTTTTACGTTGATAGCTCCAGCGCTTGTGCTTCCAATGTGAATGGTTTTCGTCCTTAGACCCTTTTATTACTTTATTCATGTGTCGCACATGCGCAAAGTGTGATAGAGTTCATTGTCTGATTTATACAATGCCGTGAAAGACTGGTTAAAAGTTCCTTGATTGGCATGTGAGGAAGGCACAATCTATGTAATCACTGGTGCCATAGCCCTAAACTCTCACTATGTCACCAGTCGTCTCAAAATTGCTTTATTTTTTTTCTTCTCAAAATTGATCTAACTTAATTATAAAACGTAAAAMGATTACTTGCTAGCTATTATAGATAGCACATACAGGAGTCCAGAAACCCTAGGAAGTCCAAGTAGGATCATATCAAAACCATAAAAGCTCCCGCATCGCCAGATCACCAGAATCTATTCCCGCCTTTTTCCAACAAGCAGGAGAGAGYTKAATACCAAYGAGAACATTTTAATCTGTTAAGACATCCCATAGCTTTTAAAACATTCTAGCTTTGAGGCAATTATTGGCCAGACATCACTTATATTCGACTATTATTTCTTGTAAGCTATATTAAAGTAAAAGACGTACAATTCATCAAACCAAGTACTAAATACTCCAATCTTCGTCTTTATTAGATCGTAATTCGTTATTACTTCGTCATAGCGCATGCGCCGTGCTTTTCAATTCGGTGTGTACGATAAGAAAGCTGTCAGATCTCATCCGGTAAAGATTAATGAGCAAAAGGAAGACCAATACGTTTGCTTTCTTCTAACTAAAACACAGTTTTTCGATCTGCGGACGCCGCTTTCTTACATTTTTATGGCTGACAAAASCCAAGCAAGGTAAAAACTTAATTTTTAAATTTCGTTGTAGATTCATAACTAAGGTAGCTGAATCTTTGATGTACACTTATTTATGTTTTTGATCATTAATCTTTAATCAATTTTTCTTGGTTTGTAAATGATTAAGGCTTGTAAGTCGGTAACAATGGTGATTTTTTTTATTAGTGCATGGGATTTTAATATTTTAGATCAGAATCCTCAAAAAAACCTGGCATTCAAATTTAATTCCCAACGAGCAAAAATAAAACATAAGTAATCACTTATTGTACAGCAATATGCAGAAACTATGATCTTATTGAATCATATTTCAAGTATATATAAAACATATCAGAAACACTGAGATATCATCATCAATATTTTTTAGGAAAGTTCTAGTGCAAGGCAACTTAAAATATATATATTGAAGAGATCCTGTAAAATTTCTGATATATTTTATATATACTTGAAATATATGAGCAAAAAGGATCGTAATTTTTGCATATTGCTCTATACTATTATATTTATCATATAATTATCTATGGAAATACCTATATTTCTCCTTTCGATAAACTGTTATTTTCGCCATGAAACT